AATTTCGCTGTCAATTTCCCAGCAATATTTCCCCTTAGCAACTTACTGGTATCACAATCTAACTCATCCCATCACTAGTTCATAATGTTTAATATTGTGAGCATACTTTTAATGTTCTACAATTATGCTCCTTTCAGTGTAGAGTGGTTGGCATGTTACAGTGTAGTGACTACATTCTTGTACACCAGCCACCATACACTGTAATACACCAGCCACTATACACTGTAATACACCAGCCACTGTACACTGTAATACACCAGCTCCTGAACACTAATACACCAGCCACTGTACACTGTAATACACCAGCTCCTGAACACTGTAATACACCAGCCACTGTACACTGTAATACACCAGCCACTGTACACTGTAATACACCAGCCACTGTACACTGTAATACACCAGCCACTGTACACTGTAATACACCAGCCACTGTACACTGTAATACACCAGCTCCTGAACACTGTAATACACCAGCCACTGTACACTGTAATACACCAGCTCCTGAACACTGTAATACACCAGCTGCTGTACACTGTAATACACCAGCCACTGTACACTGTAATACACCAGCTGCTGTACACTGTAATACACCAGCTGCTGTACACTGTAATACACCAGCCACTATACACTGTAATACACCAGCCACTGTACACTGTAATACACCAGCTGTACACTACACCAGCTATACACTGTAATACACCAGCCACTGTACACTGTAATACACCAGCCACTGTAATACACCAGCTGTAATACACCAGCTGCTGTACACTGTAATACACCAGCCACTGTACACTGTAATACACCAGCTGCTGTACACTGTAATACACCAGCTGCTGTACACTGTAATACACCAGCCACTGTACACTGTAATACACCAGCTGCTGTACACTGTAATACACCAGCTGCTGTACACTGTAATACACCAGCTGCTGTACACTGTAATACACCAGCTGCTGTACACTGTAATACACCAGCTGCTGTACACTGTAATACACCAGCCACTGTACACTGTAATACACCAGCTGCTGTACACTGTAATACACCAGCTGCTGTACACTGTAATACACCAGCTGCTGTACACTGTAATACACCAGCCACTGTACACTAATACACCAGCTGCTGTGCACTAATACATAAGCAGCTGTGTACTACACAGAAGAGTTAGGGGGGACATGATCACCACATACAAGATTCTAAAAGGAACTGATAGGGTAGATAAAGACAGGCTATTTAACACAAGGGGCACACGCACTAGGGGCACACTGGTGGAAATTGAGTACCCAAATGAGCCACAGAGATATTTAAAGAACTTTTTTAGTGTCAGAGTGGTTGACAAATGGAATGCATTAGAAAGTGATGTGGTGGAGGCAGACTCCATACACAGTTTCAAATGTAGATATGATAGAGCCCAATAGGCTCAGGAACCTATACATCAGTAGTTTGACCGTTGAGAGGCGGAACCAACGAGCCAGAGCTCAACCCCCGCAAGCAAAAATAGGTGAAACAGGCGAGTATTACAATTATGCTCTTTTCTTGTCTTCCAGTTCTTCCTGTTCTTCCATACAGTGGCTAGTCTGCACTACAGCATTGCAGGTGGAATCAAGATGATAAGCTGATAATTTTAAATGCCTACAGCCCACCAGAAAGCAACACATGGACAAAGGAAGAACTGGATGACAAACGAGAGGGCCTCATAATGGTAAGAGCTGACATAGATAAATCTCGATTGTTGGTACTGGGGGACTTCAACTTTAAGGCAATAGACTGGGAGGCCTCCGAGGCAAGAACGGAGGACATTTGGACAGGCAGATTTGTAAACCTCATCTTGGAGACATTTATGTATCAACACGTCAAGCAGGCCACAAGAATGAGGGAAGGGGATGTACTGTCAGTACTGGATCTAATATTCACCAGAAAAGAAAAACAGGTATTTGACATCCATTACTTTCCTCCCTTGGGAAAGAGTCATGTTCTGTTGGACATTAAATATGTTTTGTGATATAATCTAGTAGAGAATGGGGACATTGAAGCAGTTCATAAACTAGATTTCAAGAGAAGACGCTATAGGGAACTAAGAAATTTTTTAATGGGTATAATTGGACAGACTTGTTGCTAGGCAAAGTAGTAAATGAGAAGTATGCTAAATTTTGCAACATATATGATGAAGGCACACAAACATTCATACCAAAACAAAGATGCAGACCTAAGAACAGGATTGGTTCAACAGAAATTTCGAGAGGGCCAGAGATCAAAAGACACAAGCAGAGAATCATTATAGGAAGAGGCCAAATCCCCAAACATACCTGCCATACAAAGATGCAAGAAACAACTACACGACAGTAAGGAAAGAGGTAGAAAGGAACTTTGAAAACGGTATAGCAGACAAGTAAATCAGATCCAGGCTTGTTCTATAAATTCATTAAAAGCAAGCTGCTGGTAAAGGATAATATTCAGAGGTTGAAAATGGAAGACAGATTCACAGAAAATGAAAAGGAAATGAGTGAATCATTAAACAAAAAGTTCCAAAGTGTGTTTGTACAAAATGAAATCTTCAGGGAACCTGACACATTAAGAATTCCAAAGAACAACATAGAGCATAGATGTGTCTAGAGACCAAGTGAAAATATGCTCTTGAAGCTAAGTAAGAACAAAGCAATTGGCCCAGATGGAGTTTCACCATGGGTTCTGAGAGAATGTGCATCTGAGCTCAGCATTCTGAGCTCGGAATGCACTTCACCTGATTTTTCAGACATCCCTGTGTACAAGCGTTGTAGCAGATGTGTGGAAACAGGCTAACATAGTTCCAATCTACAAAAATGGCAGTAGGGAAGACCCCCTCAATTATAGACCTGTATCATTGACAAGCGTAATAGTCAAAATATTGGAAAAAAAAAATAAGTAAAACTAAATGGTGGAACACCTGGAGAGAAACGAAATAATATCAGATACAGTATGGTTTTTAATCCGGATGATCCTGTGAATTGAATTAACTCGGTTTCTATGATCAAGCCACAGAGATTTTACAGGAAAGAGATGGTTGGGTTGACTGCATCTATCTGGACCTAAAAAAGGCTTTCGACACAATTCCACATAAGAGGTTGTTCTGGAAACTGGAACATATTGGACGGGTGACAGGTAAGCTTCTAAAATGAATGTAAAATTTTCTGATAGAAAAATGAGGGCAGTAATCAGGAACAATGTATCTGACTGGAGAAATGTCACAAGCGGAGTACCACAGGGTTCAGTTCTTGAACCGGTAATGTTCATTGTCTACATAAACGATCTACCAGATGGCATACAGAATTATATGAACATGTTTGCTGATGATGCTAAGATAATAGGAAGGATAAGTAACTCAGATTATTGTAATGCCCTTCAAGAAGACCTGGACAAAATTAGTATATGGAGCACCACTTGGCAAATGAGATTTAATGTTAATAAATGCCATGTTATGGAATGTCGAATAGGAGAACAGACCCCACACAACCTATATATTATGTGAGAAATCTTTAAAGAATTCTAATAAAGAAAAAGATCTAGGGGTGGGTCTAGATAGAAAACTATCACCTGAGGACCACATAAAGAACGTTGTGCGAGGAGCCTATGCCACGCTTTCTAACCTCAGAATTGCTTTTAAATACATGGATGGTGAAATACTAAAGAAATTGTTTACGACTTTTGTTAGGCCAAAGCTAGAATATGCAGCGGTTGTGTGGTGCCCATATCTTAAGAAGCACATCATCAAACTGGAAAAGGTACAAAGACATGCTACTAAGTGGCTCCCAGAACTGAAGGACAAGAGCTACGAGGAGAGGTTAGAGGCATTAAATATGCCAAAACTAGAAGACATAAGAAAAAGAGGTGATATGATCACTGCATACAAAATAGTAACAGGAATTGGTAAAATCGTTATAAGAGTGCTGGGTAGACGGGACACCACGAGCGTAGGTCTCATCCTGTAACTACACTTAGGTAATTACATTTAGGTAATTACTAATATACCAGCCGCTGTGCACTAATACACCAGCCGCTGTGCACTAATACACCAGCCGCTGTGCACTAATACACCAGCCGCTGTGCACTAATACACCAGCCGCTGTGCACTAATACACCAGCCGCTGTGCACTAATACACCAGCAGCTGTGCACTAATACACCAGCCGCTGTGCACTAATACACCAGCAGCTGTGCACTAACACACCAGCAGCTGTGCACTAATACACCAGCCGCTGTGCACTAATACACCAGCCGCTGTGCACTAATACACCAGCCGCTGTGCACTAATACACCAGCCGCTGTGCACTAATACACCAGCCGCTGTGCACTAATACACCAGCAGCTGTGCACTAATACACCAGCAGCTGTGCACTAATACACCAGCAGCTGTGCACTAATACACCAGCAGCTGTGCACTAATACACCAGCAGCTGTGCATTAATACTCCAGCAGCTGTGCACTAACACACCAGCAGCTGTGCAATAAAACACCAGCAGCTGTGCACTAATACACCAGCAGCTGTGCACTAATACACCAGCAGCTGTGCACTAATACACCAGCAGCTGTGCACTAATACACCAGCAGCTGTGCACTAATACACCAGCAGCTGTGCAATAATACACCAGCAGCTGTGCAATAATACTCCAGCAGCTGTGCACTAACACACCAGCAGCTGTGCAATAATACACCAGCAGCTGTGCACTAATACACCAGCAGCTGTGCACTAATACACCAGCAGCTGTGCAATAATACACCAGCAGCTGTGCACTAATACACCAGCAGCTGTGCACTAACACACCAGCAGCTGTGCACTAATACACCAGCAGCTGTGCACTAATACACCAGCAGCTGTGCACTAATACACCAGCAGCTGTGCACTAATACACCAGCAGCTGTGCAATAATACACCAGCAGCTGTGCACTAATACTCCAGCAGCTGTGCACTAATACTCCACAGTGGTTGATGCTTCACACACATGCTTTAATTACATGCTGTTATCTCACCTTTTCTGTTATAGTTAAGACGTCTACTTTTGTAGTAAGAAGCACTGAAGGATCATTACATAAGCTGCGTATTTCATCAAGAACTTCCTCCTCTGCCAGTAGGTCTCTCCCTTCCTCCAGGTAGTTATGTACTTGAAGGAGAACATGATCAAAAATGCTCAGGTGGTTACAATCCTTTACTGTTACATTCACCTGAGGAAATACAAAATTAAGCCATTAATATTTCACTCTCACAATAATTTAAGTACTGTATTTCAAATGATAATGAGCCACTGAGCAGAAATATACAACATTTTTGCAATGAATTTAAAGACACGTATTTGAAAACCTGTTTTGAAAGGCATCTCCCGCAGTGCTCTCCATCATTTATGGTAAAGTATTTAGTATGCTTGACACTCAGTTAAAGAAAATGCATTTCGTTTAGGTGGGCTGAAATAATTTGGCTTTACATACAGTAATTCTAAAACTTGCTGTATGTGACTGAACAGAAAAGCATATTTATGAATCAAGACTGCCCTTTAATAATTAACAATACTCAAAAGTCTTAGGGATGCAGTAACCCCAACACCTATCAATGTTCTTCAAACACCCTGCTGGTGAGCGGGCAGCTGCACCCGCCAGTTCGTAAAATAATGAAAACCGCCGACCGGAGGAAGGAAGGAAGGGAGGGAGGGAGGGAGGGAGGGTGCCAGGGAGACTCCAGGGCTTGCTCAGAAAATGGAGTTTCCATTACATTCAAAGCTGGTTTTCTGTGGGAAGTTCTGTCAGCTCCCTAAAACTATCTACCCCACAGAGAAGGTAAAACAGACTTACCCCAGAGGCAGCAGCATCGCATGTCTCGAGACTAATTAGTGACAACAGGCCAGGACAAACATCCCAAAGCAGCACAAGGCCACAGAGGGACCAAAACATTGACAAGATAACGGGCAGCCAGGACCCTGTTTGATTTCCAAAATCCTCATGCCAAAATGTCAACCCAAGACATTCCCAAATACAGCAGCGAGAGCAGCATATTTCCTTACATCATGGGCACCATGGTAGACCGCAGACTGGCTAGACTTGATAACCCTGTGGACAGCCTGAAACACACGAGCTCTGGAACAAGGAACCAGGCAAACCTGATCCACCCAGAGTGTACCTACTGTCACCAAACCATTGGTCCGCAAGTAATGACATACAGCTGCAACCGTACACAAAACATGATGCACCCCTGGCCGAACCAACCAACCAACCATCAACAACCCATGAACCCTTCCGGAAGCCCGCTTTTTTCATTCTTCGCCAGAAAAGGAGACGGCTGCAAATGAACAAAAAGACCCCCCGGGACCAAATGAGCAGAACCCTCTGTACCAGAGAAGAGCATGAAGCTCCTCAATGTCATCCCCAAAGGCTAAAGCTAACAAAAGCAAAGATTTCATAAAACAATCATGGACCTATGGGGCCACCACAAACTGAGGAGAGGAGAGAAATGAAAGCACCCGGTCCAAAGACCACAAAGGCTCAGGTGATGTATGAGCAGGCCGGAGGTGAAAAAATGCACGAGAACTTACGGAACGGAGCAGGAGTGACATCCACCCTGAATGCAAGCTGGAGCGGCTCTGCCAATACTGCACAATAAGAAGCAGCAGTATCTTGAAAAAAAGTTCAGGAAAAGTCAAGAAAGAAAGGACAAAACAACTGGAACAGACACTGATGAGACCCTATGAAAAAAAAGGAAATGGAAGATAGACTGCAATGAGCCTTCATACTGTCCTGAGAGGAAGACCGCAGAAGGGACAGTATCAAAGAAACCACCTGGTCCCCATGTAAATTGTGATACAACTGCGTCAAAAAGACCAGACGCGAAGAGCGGAAGAGTACCTGGTTGATACCTAGTTGATGGGGTTCTGGGAGTTCTACTCCCCAAGCCCGGCCCGAAGCCAGGCTTGACTTGTGAGAGTTTGGTTCATCAGGCTGTTGCTTGGAGTGGCCCGCAGGCCCACATACCCACCACAGCCCGGTTGGTCCGGAACATCTTTAAGAAAACAGTCTAGTTTTCTCTTGAAGATATCCACGGTTGTTCCGGCAATATTTCTGATGCTCGCTGGGAGGACGTTGAACAGCCGCGGACCTCTGATGTTTATACAGTGTTCTCTAATTGTGCCTATGGCACCTCTGCTCTTCACTGGTTCTATTCTGTATTTTCTTCCATATTGTTCACTCCAGTACGTTGTTATTTTACTGTGGAGATTAGGGACCTGGTCTTCCAGTATTTTCCATGTGTATATTATTTGGTATCTCTCTCTTTGTCTCCTTTCTAGTAAGAACATTTGGAGAGCTTTGAGACGATCCCAATAATTTAGGTGCTTTATCGCGTCTATGCGTGCCATATATGTTCTCTGTATTCCCTCAATTTCAGCAATCTCTCCTTCTCTGAAGGGGGAAGTGAATACTGAGCAGTACTCGAGACGGGACAACACCAGTGACTTGAAGAGTACAACCATCATGATGGGATCTCTGGATTTGAAAGTTCTTGTAATCCATCCTATCATTTTTCTGGCTGACGCAATATTTGCTTGGTTATGCTCCCTAAATGTTAGATCATCGGACATCATTATTCCCAAATCCTTGACATGCTGTTTACCTATTATGAGCAGATTCGATTGTGTTTTGTATGCTGTATTATGGTTCAGGTCCTCATTTGTACCCCCCGGTGGGGGATACAGGAACCCCCCACCTCAACCAATCCTGCCAAAAAGTGTTCACCCCAATGGCCTCTCAGTCTGGGAACAGCGCCACATATAATGGGAGACATCAGGACCACGCCAACACGAAAAGGTCCATCTCCGGCACTCGAACATCAGGCAGAGCCAACAGAAGGATTCGGCGTCGACCGTCCAGTCCATGGACAGAGGAATGAACCATGACAGGCCATCCACCAGGACATTAGGCATTCCCTGGATGTGAACTGCATGGAGAGCTAAACCCTGAGAATTTAGCAGATGAGTCACCCGAAGTGACCAGCCCTAAAGAGCTAAGGACCGAAGAGAACCTCAATGGTTCAGACAATGAACCACTGGAGTGCAGTCCGAATGGAGCCTGATCACTGAGCCCCGAGCGACCCAAACCCTCTGCGGCGAAAGCTAAACTGCTGCAAACTCCTGCACTGTGCTGCGAGCCCGATAGAAGGACGGAGCCCGCTGCCCCTGACCAGTCTGGTCAGTCCTGGTCACAAAGCCCCAGCCGAGAGACAAGGGATCTGTGAACATATCGAGCGAGAAATCGGGGAAGTACCATGGCAATGAGCCCCGATAAATTTGAAGAGGAAGCCGGTGACGCAGCAACTAACGCAAGACCCATAGGGGTCGAACCCAGCAGTCACAAGAGAGGCGGAAGGGATGTTCCTGAAGGAACCAGAACAGGCGCTGAAGCCAGCAACTGCGCATATCAGGCGGCATATGCGTTACATGTTAGGTATAGCTTGTTACAATGCTTTAGGTTGATTGCCTGCTCAGATGCCCCGGGGCTGCCACATTTTAGTTTTATGGACCTGGTTCTGGGGGCGTTGGTCGCTTTGACCTTGGTTCAGTCTGCACCTTCAGGTCCTTCCACGGTGGACATGGTTTTCCCTCCTCTTTCTCCCCCTATTGTCGGCTCCCAGATGTCTGAGGGTTTTGGAGCCGGGCAGGATTTAGTTGATGAGACTTGGCCGGCTTCATGGGCTGCCACATTCGGCCGGCTTCATGGGCTGCCGCATTCGAGACGGAGACGAATGCATTTGAGCCTGATCCTCCTGCCAAAGATTTTGGGTCCTACCAGCAGACCACCTTCTTTGCTGCCTTTTCCTTTCCTTCAGGGGTGGAGGGCATGGAGGACGGCTCTCTCCCGAGGCTGGTCCCAGGGAGCCAACCCCGGGGTGGTTTGGACCCCCCCCCCTTTGATCCTGCTTGGGTTTTGGTGCCCACATCATGGGGTTTGTTGTTACAGGGAAGGGGTTTTCTTACCCCTCTTCCCTGTACAATTTTGATTTAAGGTCGGCTCCTCTCTGGGTTCCCTTGTGTTCCTCGGCTCCCTCTTTCCGGAGGTTTTCTGCCTCTCGCATCCCGCCTAAGGAGGTTCTGGAGGCTCTTGTGGCTTATCACCTTGGGAAGACGGGACACCACGAGCGTAGCTCTCATCCTGTAACTACACTTAGGTAATTACTTAAGTAATTACCTGCGAGACCCGGATTTTGCCTCTATGATGGATCTGTCCTCGTTTTAGTATGGTTCGTCTTCCGATTATTGGGTGCGTTATGAGTTTCCGTAGTCTTCCTGGCTGGCAGACTGCCCTTTTTCTCAGAAAGTAGGGCACGGGTTTTGTTAGACCCGCACGCTTGATTGGCGGGAGGCTGCTACCGTTCTGCAGGTATACTTGGGGAGGGGGAGGGGGGGGGAGTGATTTTGACCACCTTAATTGCATGCCTTTCTGGGGGCAGCCCCGTTGGCTCACTGGAGCTATCCAGGCTGATATGCTAATGTCAGACTTTGGCATCAGTCATGTGTATGGAGTTTTGTGGGCCTTGATCTTGAGGTTATCTTGACATGATTTCAAGGCTTAGTATAGTGTCCCCGCAGCCTGGTCTTCGACCAGGCCTACACCCCCAGGAAGTAGCCTGTGACAGCTGACTAACTCCCACATATCTATTTACTGCTAGGTAACAGGAGCATCAGGGTGAAAGAAGCTGTCCATTGTTTCTCGCCGGTGCCCGGGATCAAACCCGGGACTACAGGATCACGTGTCCAGTGTTCTGTCCACTCCCTACCACCGGTGGTAGGTCCACCTACTGGGGACCACGAGCCAGAACCCTGCCCCCTCACAGAGGTATGAGGAGCATGGCCTATAGAAAACCCCCCCCCCCCTCCCCGTGTGGTTGGAAGCATTCAATGTCTGCCATTGACCAGGTTAGGCACCAGAAAGGTAAGCATCCCAAAACAAACCTCCAATTCTGGTGAAAATTGCTACAAAAAGCCAAACAAGTAGATAGAACTTGTAAATAGTTAAACTTGAACCAGTAAATAGAACAGAAACGAGAAAATGGGTATGACGTCACACGTCTCCGCGCCACCATCTGTGCAGCTTCCCCCTCCACGGGAAGGGGAAGGGGGAAGCCAGGAGTGATTTTTCAGTATTCGGGGTGTATGCGACTAGGGGCTCCCTTCCTTAGGTGCACT